ATTATTATTGACTATTTACTGTCTTGTAACCACATGCTAGTCTCCATACATTTTTTAGTTTGATGTTTATTTTTGTAGCTCTCAGGCATGACTAATATTTTGGTCTTAAAACGGTTTTTTGACTGACCACCAAAGAGCCTTTTCTATTTTCTTTATCCATTTGGCTAATTTTATTTATTTTATGAATCATTTGTGTAGTGAATCTGTAAAAACTTTAGGCTGGAAAATAAAACCAACATTTGGACCATGTGTGTTATGATCAATCTCTAAAAGCTGGCTGCATCCATGTCATATCCTGTCACTCTGGATATTTACTGGCCATGCTTGCATTGATTGTATAAGGAGTAGGATGCCTGAACACGTGGTCACGGACGCGCTGGCATAGCTGGGCATGCTGGCATAGCCGAGCAGCATAGTTGTGTTGTCAACGTTTCTTGTTTGCTGTCATCTCTCTGTGCCTTGGTGGTGTGCTGTGTGACTGCCCAGTGCTCACTGCTGACCTCTTGTGCTGCTTGGTTTTTCATCGCTGCCTTCACTAGTCTTTAAACCATCCCAGACCGTAAGTGGGGAAAAGTAATCCATTCTTCTCACTCTGAAGACTAAAGTACATCCTCTTAGTAGGGAAATGAACTAAGGAGTAAACAGCCTAAACATGTAGCCTAGCTAATGACTGAACTTCAGTGCAGAGTGAGACATAAGGAAGTGTATTTTGCTGGTCAAGTGAATCTTAGAAATATTTCTTAGTGAAAATCCCAATAAGCCATTCAACATCAATTGAGGTAAGTCTGATTTATTTTTCTTATACAAATGTTAAATATATAATCCATGTTCCAATCACATTTCCTCCAACTAAATAAAGGAGCAGACAGAATTATTCAAGTATTTAATATCTTGAACATGCTTTTTAAACTCTGAATCTAAGACATGATAATCTCTTTTTAAAAAATCTCTATTTTACATCTTAACATGTGCTCTACATATAGTTAACATTTTTCCCTAAAGAAATACTGTCTTTAAGAGTTTGACTCACCTCACTTAATATATTGAATCATATATATTATTTCAATAGTAGATACAAATAAACTCCTTAAAATATGTTATGCCAAGCCTTAGAGGAAATGAGACAATACAGTGTCTAGTGTTGGAGTCACCAAAAGCCTCCTGGCAGGACCTTTTACTAGTCAAGTTATCCTCAAAGCTTCACTTAGTTCAGCCATCTCAGTCAGTGAACCACGTGACAGCTGTTGGTCTCATAGCAACCGTGGAGCTGTTTAGAAAGCTTCTGTTTCTGCATCAAAATGAAATGAGCCAGGACAGCCTTTGTCATTTAGTGGATTTCCCTAGACTTCAGTTTATATGTCATTTTGCCAACTTCCTCCCCAACTCCCCAATTGTGTGTGTGTGTGTGTGTGTGTGTGTGTAACTAATGTGAACTAAACTCCCAGAGTGTTGCACACTGTGGGAAAGTGATACAGCACCTAAGTTACTTCCCTTGCTCCTTTCTATTTTTTAAGTGTATTTTGTTTGTTGAGACAGGGTCTCATGTAGCTCAGGTTAGCTCAGGCTGGCTCAGGCTGGCTATTTAGCCAGGAATGACTTCTAACCTCCTTCCACTTCCTGAGCATTGAGAATACAGAGATACTACCATGCCTGGTTTAATGTGGTGCTGAGGACTGAACCTGAAACCTGGATATACAAAACAAGCACTTGACCAGTGGAGTCCATTTTATTTTGAAGCAGAGTTGCTCAGGCTTGTTTTGAGTTCACTTTGTATCTCAAGCAGAGTTTGATCTCTGAACTTATTGACCCTCTTGCCTTATCCTCTCAGGTGCTAGAATTACAGGCATTCACCACCACACCAGGCTTTGGATTTTGCCAGTTATATAAGTCCGGATTCTCTAGAGACACAGAACTCATAGAATGAGTTATTATATAATATGTATTATATGTATATAGCATATACATATATATTTAATCAGTATCTTGACTTATAAGATGTGTTCCAACAGTGACTATCTCCTGACAAAAAGTCCAAAAATCCAGTGTTGTTTGGTTCAAGATGCTGGATGTCTCAGACAGTTGTCAGTATACCTGGGAGGGAATGAACTTGCCAGAGAGAGGCCAGACAGGCAAAGAACAAGCACTTCCTTCTTCTGTGGTCCTTATATAGACTGCCACCAGAAAGTGTGGCCCAGTTAAGGTAGGTCTTCCAGATTCAAATGATTTAATTAAAAATCTCTCACAGTGGATCCAGCCTTTTGGGTTTAGTTAAATCTAGATATACTCAAGTTAATAACCAAGAATAGCCGGGCGGTGGTGGCGCACGCCTTTAATCCCAGCACTCGGGAGGCAGAGGCAGGCGGATTTCTGAGATCGAGGCCAGCCTGGTCTACAGAGTGAGTTCCAGGACAGCCCGGGCTATACAGAGAAACCCTGTCTCGAAAAACCAAAAAAAAAAAAAAAACCAAGAATAGCCATCACACCAACACTACTTACGAATTTTGAATCTAAACAGTATTAAATACTATTGACACAACTTTAAAAAAATTTTTTTTGGTTTTATTTTTCGAGGCAGGGTTTCTCTGTGTAACAGCCCTGATGGCTTTAGACTCTATTTGTAGACCAGACTGGCCTCGAACTCACAGAGATCTGCCTGCCTCTGCCTCCCATGTGCTGGGATTAAAGATGTTTGTTACCATGTCCGGCTCTTACAATTTAACATTTTTAATCTACCCTGGCTCTGGAGAGATGACTCAGTGATTGAGGGGGACTAATGGCTAGTCTTCCAGAGGATGGGTGTGGCAGCTCACAGCCATCTGTCATTTCTGATCCTGGGGATTAACACCCACTTCTGGTCTCTACAGGTACATACCTGATGCACTTACATATGTTTAGACAAAAACACTCATACACATAAAATAAAAATAGTTAAATCTTTTTTTAAAAATTTAATCCTTAACTTCTAAATTTCCTTAATTAATAACACCCACAAATGTGGGTCTGATATCATAGTTTTTTACAAGATAGTAAATGAATATATGGCCAGTAAAGTCTCTTTGCCTTGACAGTATGAGCCCAGTCTTGGACACTAGGATTGTTAAATCTCTGTCTGCGAGGTGGGCTATCTCACTAACTTTTGCTGCTGGAACATAGGTAACCAAGAGTGGACACCAAATGCAATTTGTTGTTTATATGTTTCTTTCTTTCCTTTTCTTTCTTTCTTTCTTTCTTTCTTTCTTTCTTTCTTTCTTTCTTTCTTTCTTTCTTTCTTTCTTTTGAGACAGGGCCTTACTATGTAGCCCTGGGTGTTCTGGAGTGTAGACCAGGCTGTCCTTAAACTCACAGAGATCTTCCTGCCTCTGCCTCTGCCCATGAGTGCTGGGACTAAAGGCATGTACCACCCTACCTGGCTCAATAGTCACTTTAGACAATTGACAACAAAAGTAATTTTTGTAGGAGGTACCTTTTTCTTTTTTGTTCTTATTGGTTGTTTTGTTTTAAAATCAAGTCTTACTCCCTTGCCCAATTGACACCTAACAATCCTCCTGCCTTAGCCTCTCAAGTGCTGGGATCTTAGGTGTGAGCTACTAAGCCTGGCTTCTTTTTTCTTAAATAGAAATTCATCTCCCAATATCAGAAAAACTGAGCCTGGTGTTGTACACTTGTAATCCCAGCATAAGGGAAGTGGAAGCTAGAGGAGCAGAAGTTGATCCTTCTCGGCCACATAGTGAGTTCAGCCTGGTATACATGAGACCCTATCACACGCACACGCAGGCACGCGCACGCACACACACACACACACACACACACACACACACAAATACTGAATGTTTTCTACTTCAGGCATATAGATGAGAAAAATAACCTTTAATTACAAAGCTTTCCCATCCCAAAGTCTTTCTCTGTTTGGTGTCTAGAAGGCCCTTTACCCAACAGAAGCTTCATAGATGTTTCTATATACAAAGAGCACTCATGGGCAGAGGCAGAGGCAGGAAGATCTCTGTGAGTTTAAGGACAGCCTGGTCTACACTCCAGAACATAATTAAATTGTGCACTGATTGCCACGTTTTCACTTCTCTGATTTTATAGTTAGCTATTAACATGTTAAGTCTTTATCTGAAATGCTCAGGAAAATCAATTCTATTTGCATTGGATTATTCTAGGCTAGAGTACCAAGAGGAGGCCTTGGGATCCACTCTGACCCACACCACTGTCAGTCAAGGAACTGGGTTACTTGGAGAACTGAAAACCAGTGTTTCTGCTGGCTAATACTGACTGTACTAGGCACAGTATGTCATTCGATTGCTAACCTGCTTAATCCTCACAGCTAGGTGTATCTGTTACTACTCTGCTTTACAGGGGAGGACAGAGGCTAGATAGCTTACCGGGACAGCTAATGGTAGAGGTAGACTCCAGCCCTCTCTGCATTAGGCCAACTGTATACTGCTTTGTTTTCTCCTGTATGTGAAGAGCTTCCTTCCTCATTCAGATGTGAGACCTAAATCATTTACATCTGATGTACTGAGGGGATCTGTCCTAGATTTTTGGTGCTTACATAAATGTATTTATATGAGTGAAGATTCTTAGCTACTTTGATTTTTAGGACAAAACATTTTTAGACCTTATCCATAGGAAGACTGTGTGTACTGTATCTTTCTTCCACCCACCACCGGCCCCTTTAAATGAGCATAGCTAGCTTTTCTTCTCTGAGTCTCCTTTTATTTATCTGGGAAACAAGAGGTTAAGGTTACTTGTCTAGTATTTCTAGAACTCTTAAGTTCTGAACTACAAATATGAATATGTAATTATTCGTTTTAAGTTTTCCTTTAACCTGACCATAGCTTTAACAGATGTTCCATATGAATAGGCATGGCATCACTATACTGGGTCTTTGTGTTTTTATTTGTGTGACATGAAAATGCTGTCACCTGGTGGTGCTTCCAATACAGATTACCTTTCCTGCCTCAAGAAAAGGTAAACTTTCGTTTTTCTCTTACTAGATGTCACTACCCCAGAGTCTCCAAATAATGTTGGGGAATCATCTATGGTGAATGGACGCTTAACATCTCAAACAAAAGATGATGGGCTGAGCACTCCCCAGCAGGGGTCTGCACAGCGCAAGAGACTCCTTAAAGCCCCAACCCTGGCTGAGCTGGACAGCTCTGACTCGGAGGTAAGGCTGCCAGGCACTCAGATCCCTCTGACCCTGTCCCCCTGCCAGTTCCTTGAGCTGTCTCCTCATCTCTTTTCATGCTCCAATCAGTAAAGGTAAGATTGAAGTTAATGTGGCTAGCAGGAAGATTCATTACTGTTCTTACTACAGACCAGTGTGGTGGATGCTTAGAAATTAGGAAATAGCTACTGAAATTGAGGTCTGTAGTCTTAGATTATAAGTAGGATTAAGATAAACCAACAGTCTTAAAACTTCCATGATTTTCATCTTTGTGTGAAAAGGAGAAAGTAAAGTTCAAACATGTTTCTGTAGGTTCTTGTTCCTTTGCAGTACACATAGACACATGTAGGATTTTTCTTATCATAATAGCAATGCCAACAAACAAGCCTTCAAGAAGAAAGCTGCTTTTCCTTTTCTTTGCTTTACTTTGTGCCCTTCAGGGATGGATGCTCAGTCTACAGACCTCCATTCATACTGAGCCTTCTCCATCTGCTGAGCTATGAGTATCAGAATGCACATTTCTGTTTGCTAAGTCTCCACTGCCTCACCCAAACTTAGACAAACTGAGACGAACCCTCACTTTTCTCCATGGTGCATGGATACACACACATCGTTGTCATTGCTGGCTCCATCTTCTCATGTCTATCTGAGTTGGAACTTACTACTTAGTTGTTTTATTTTCAGTCTTCACCACCATCCCAAACAATACCAATAATACCGTGTTTCTACTAGAGGCTTTCCCAGTAGGGCTAGGAAGATGGTCCAGTGGGTAAGAGTGTTTGCTGCATAAGAATGAGGACCCACCACCTAAGCAAAAAGCAAGGTATGAATGCACCCATGCCTGTAACCTCAGTGCCATGAGGATGCTGCCTGTCAACTAAGCTCCAGGTTCAGTGAGAGACCTTATCTCAAGGGAATACGGCAGAGAATGATATTCACAGATAACAGACATCCTCCATGGCCTTCTTTGAAGGCATTCATGAACTTGTGCAATCAAGTGTATATAAATGTGCACATATACCACACACAGCAAAATATCCTTATTGCTGACATCAGTGAGTGTCTCACTACGTCTCCTGTTTCTCTTTTTAAGCTTCCCAAATTACACTCTGCACAAATCCTTTTTCACTCCTCAAGAGCTTTAAAGGCTCCCATCTTATACATCCTATACTTCATGTTTCCTAAGGATATAAATGTTAGAGAGCCCCTCCCCCAGCCCCTGTAGTGAGATGCTGTGATCCCTCCATCCCTGTTCCACATTCTCCTAGCCTTCCCGTTTTATGGTGGCCATTGTCTTCTCTAAACAGTGTCTGGTTCCACAGCTCTGTGCTTATTTGTACCCACAATTTGTCTGCACTCCTGAGGTCTGTTCATCCCTTAAGAGTCAGGTGTCTTTCCCATGCTCTTCTTTGTGGTTCTGTGCTAACTCTCTAATGCCTCTGTTCCTCTAGTGTAGTGGTTCTCAACCTGTAGATTAAGACCCCTTGGGGTATCAAATGACCCTTTCATAGAAATTGCCTAAGACCATTGGAAAACATAGACATTTACATTACGATTCATGACAGTAGCAAAGTTACAGTTTTGATTTGGTTTGGTTTGGTGGTTTGGTGGTTTGGTTTGGTTTGGTTTGGTTTGGTTTGGTTTGGTTTGGTTTGGTTTTTCGGACAGAGTTTCTCTGTATAGCCCTGGCTCTCCTGGAACTCACTCTGTAGACCAGGCTGGCCTCAAACTCAGAAATCCGCCTGCCTCTGCCTCCCAAGTGCTGGGATTAAAGGCATGCGCCACCACTGCCCAGCAAGTTACAATTTTGAGGTAGCAATGAAATAATTTTATAGTTAGAGGTCATCACAACATGAGGAACTGTATTAAAAGGTAACAGCACTAGGAAGGTTGAGAACCACTGCTATAGAGCACCTGTCTTAGTTAGGGTTTTTATTGCTATAATTATTTAAAAAAAAAAAAAAAAGAAAGCAGCTTGTGGGAGGAAAGGGTTTGTTTTAGCCTATAGTTCACAACAGAGTCTATCACTAATGGAAGTCAAGGAAGAAACCTGGAGGCAGGAGCTGCAGAGACCATGGAGGAGTGCTGCCTACTGGCTTGCTCACCATGGCTTGTTCAGCCTATAGACTTCCTACACCCAATCCTATGAGGGCATTTTTCTCAATTAAGATTCTTCCTTCCCTAACGATCCTAGCTTGCATTAAGTTGACTGAAAACTAGATAGCACAGCTCATTTCTGCTTCTGTGTCTACTTTGACCCCATAGCTACTATGGCCCAGTTGGAGACACTCAAGGATTTAAATAAGTTTTTACAACCTTTATAAGGACAATTAAATTGTAAAAGCATTTAGCTTAGTGTCTTCTAAGTGGAGCTCTGTGCTATCTGGTACAATGTTCCTTGTGGCTATTTTTATTTAAATAGGTTATAATTAAATTAGGACCGTCATTGTCAGTCACAGCGGGTGCCAAATAGGACAGTGAGGATCTGACCATCCCCTCACTGAATTCCTTTGGGCCCTCGCTGATCTACAGTGCCTGGGAATTTGCATTCCTTCAGTGTCCCCTGTATCAGCTCTGGCTAAATCTTTTTCTAGACAGACATTGCCCATCAAACATTGCAGCATTACTACATACAGTGTTGTGATTGAATACATCTGCAGCCTTTACAGCCTTTTAAAAGGATATCCTAAAACAATGGATTTTCTTGGTCATATTTGCTTTCTAATAATGACCATAAAAGCAAAGCTGCTGGGTGTTCCCCATATCATGTAGTAGACTCTATTCACTTTAGATGGTAAAGCTTGTTTCCTACTTCATGGATTCTTTTCATTCTTCTTCTTTTTTTTTCCAACTTACTTTTCCTCAGTTTTTTCCCATCAAAGTTTCCATTATTGTTTGACTTTCGTTAAGTATCAAATGCAGAGGCAGAAGTGTGATGGCATTCACACCTAGTGCTTCTAATTTAAATAGAGAATTAAACACATGCCTGATGGGAAGCATGTTTCCTCAGCAGTGCCTTAGGCTGTGCAGCTAAACACCACAAAGTTCAGAGATTGACTAGAAGGGCTAGGGAAGCCTCAGTTCTGACTGGGTGCATACATCAGACTGACAGGGCACTTTCCGTGCTTCTATGTGATGTTGCTTGGTCTCACTGTGCCATGGAATGCTCATCTAATTCTCCCCACTAGACTCATGCACACATCCTCCTCAGACCTCTGATCCTGACTGTGTGTCTATGTCTATGTCTATGGCTCTGCTATGAGTCTGTACAATGAACTATCCTTCTACCCCTCCTCTCTTCCTCCTCCTCTTCTTCCCCCTCCTCCCCCTCCTTCTTCCCTACCCACTTGCTTTTCAGTTTATCTGAACATTTCTCCTATCTTGAGCATCCAGATCCCTTGTTTTTAAACATCAAGACATATTTTCACATCAGATTCACATAGAAGAATATGTCCAGTAGCTAGGAATGGAATGGGAACTACAGCTAAGTCCACCCAACACCAGCACCTCATCTTTCAGGACCGTAGGGAACACATGTTAAGAGCAAATGTTGAGACTGGGGCCCAGTGGGTAAAGCTCTTGTTCTAATTTGCTTTCCTGTTGCTATGGTAAACACCATGCTCAGGTGTTTGTTTCAGCCCATAGGTTACAATCCACCATCGAGGAAATTCAGGGCTAGCACTCAAGGCAGGAACCTGAAGGCAGGAAGCAAAGCAGAGATCATGAGGAATGCTGCTTACTGTCTGGATCTCTCCAACCCTGTCCCATCACTTTTAATTAAGCAAAGTGAGGGCATAAGCCATCCCTAATTTTAGACCCTTCTAGTTTGTCTTGAGCCTTTGACATTGTACTTTGGTGTCTTGTGTTAAAGTATCTGTTTACTAGGATGCTATTAATCTGAAGCTCATGAATTTGCCTTTTTCAGGAGGAAACTCTGCACAAGTCAACCAGCAGCAGCAGTGCATCTCCCTCCCTCTATGAGGATCCAGTTCTGGAGGCCATGTGCTCCAGGAAGAGTGAGTGCACACTGAATAAAACATATGACCTAGAGCGAGGACCCCACAGTGCACTGATCATTTGAGATAGATAAAGCTAGCCCTTCAGTGTCAGGAACAGACAGGGTCAGGTGTCTTAACTTAATTCCATCAGGTGTATCTATCTGTCTGTCTGCCCATCCATCCATCCATCCATCCATCCATCCATCCATCCGTCTAATAGATAAGTCAGCAGTGTACATGCATGCACTCTTTTTAGATTAATGACCTCCTACTCTGAATTTAAGCTCAGAAGCACTAAATAACTATATTGGCTCCTTACCTGCCCATACATACAGCCATGCCTAATGTGTAGGGAGTGAAAATACTTTATAGCTATTGGGTAGTGGATTGTGAACACAGTGTCTAAAATTCAGAGATTTCTAAAGGCCTTTAGGAATATGAAGTCATTATGAAGGGTTAGAAATTTAATTCATTGAATATTAAGATATTCTTGGGGGATGGAGAGATGGATCAGTAGTTAAGAGCACTTGCTGCTTTTTCAGAGGACCTAGGTTAGGTTCCCAGCACCCACATAGCTACTTAGAATCATCTATAACTCTCTCTTCTGGCCCCCTTAGGCATCAGGTACACATACTGTATAAATATGAACATGCAGGCAAAATACCTATACATATAAATAGAAACAAAAAATTTTTAAGGTATTCTTAGAATATTGGCTTGATTTTCCATATTGTTTTGAAACAGAGTCTCATGTATTGCAGGGTGGCCTTGAACTTGTACATAACTAAGTCTGGCCTTGAATTCTTGATCCTCTTGACTCTCCTTCCCAAGTGCTGGAATTACATAGCATTTCAGTTACTTAAACAGATTATATAAAAAAAACAGTGTGGGAACAGGGCAGACAAGACGACTCAGGGTAAAAGTACTTGCATGCAATCATGACAGCCTGAGTTCTTTCCATAGATCCCATGGTGGAAGGGGAGAACTGACTGTCGCAGGTGCACATCTGTGTTCATATCACATCACACACACACACACACTGAAAAAAAAAATAAGTCAGTAAGAGTTGGCTTTGATTATTACCAGCGATTAGTACTTGGCCAGGCTCATTGCACATTACAGAGGCTGGAGCTGGAGCTTTAGCACAGTTAGAGTGATGATTGCCTCGTATGCACAAAGGCTTAGATTTGAGCTCTAACACCAAATAAAACCAGATATGCTGGTGCAAGCTTATGATCCAGACAAGCACTCAGGAGGTAGCATTCATAGAATCAGGTCAGTAGTTTGAGGTCATCCTCAGCCATGAAGTAGATTTGAGGCCAGCCTGGACTATATGAGATCCTGTTTCAAAATGAATGAATATGTAAATAAATAAATATTATAGAGTACCCACCTAATTCTGTAATGAGTTTCAGTATAATTTTTTGACTGGAAGTTACTTTTAGTCTTTTGTTTGCCTTAGCTTGCCTTCATGGGTTGATTCAAAGATCCTACTTAACTGTGTTGATTCTCTCCTTCCTCCCCCACTGCATGAAGCAGCCCTGCTTTGCAAGTAGAGTAAGAGGAAGTACTAAATAAAGCTATAACTGCATAGCTTATTTCTAACAGCTGTATGTGTTCACATAATGAATCCAGAATCACTCATGCTAAAGATTATTCTGAACACTGCTAGTCAGTATTAGGGTTTAGCCTACTTAGCAGGCCCAAGAATGTAAAAGGATTTTGAGATAGTTTGGATTCTTTGGGGGCCATACAAAATGTAAGTATTTCTGTGTTTTTAAATGTATGAATAGAGATCTCAGTTGAAGAGTGGATGGAAGTAGCATGAGGGCATCTGCACGTACAACTCTTAAGACTAATCATAATGTGTTCTAGTGTGAACCTGAATAGACCTCTTCCCCAACCCCCCATTTTCCTTGCTGTTTTTGTAGCATGTTTATCTTTCAATTCTGTCTGTTCCTCCTGAGCTGCTACCACCTTAAAATAGTTCTCCACTGAAATCAGTTCTTCATCTGAATACAATGTCACTGCACAGTGCAAAAAGTTATCTGTTGGGAAATTCAGAATCCAAGATTTTATTTTGTAAGAGAGTTCATTTATCTGGTTAAATCTTTAGAGCCTCCAAAATTCTTGCCTATCTCGTCAACACCCCAGCCAGAGAGAAGGCAACCACCACAGAGGCGCCACTCCATTGAAAAGGAAACACCTACGAACGTGAGGCAGTTTCTGCCACCATCCAGGCAGAGCTCACGTTCTCTTGTAAGTACCAAAGGATGAACAGTGATGTGCCTACGGAATAATGGGGAGAAAAGCCCCCACAAGGTAGCATGGACTTTAATATCTCTCTGCTTAATATCTAAAGGGAGTGGGCTCTGGCTGTACTGGACCAGTCTTTGGTTTATTTTGAGTATTCATTTTCAAAACCTTTATTGGTGAGTTATTATTAAAGAAATGTTTTCTTTCTCTTAGAAGATATTAATCCACTTAAAATTGTCAAAAAGGTCTTAGCATAATCTGACAGAGTAGATTATTTTATCTGAGCAAAACAGAAGAGTTTTGACCACATAACCATTATAACTTGTTTTCTAGTGTGTTTATAATGCAGGGCAGAGCTGTTCTGTGAGCTGCCTAACAGCTTCTGATTGCTGCTTACAGAGGGTAAGCACACAAAGAAGAAAGAGTTGATTGATCTGGCAGCCAGAAGTCTGCACAATTTCCTTTTGGTTTCTCTCATGAGCTTCCAAAGCACAGCCAGATGCAAGGTGTCCACTAACATTCTACCCGTAGTCTAAGAGCTAATGTTTTCTTTCATGAAAACATTAATTAACATTAATTTCATGAAAACTCAGAATGAAAATCACATGAACATGCTTACAGCTCTCTCTTTACCTGTGATGAGTCATAAATGGTTCAAATGAGGCAGCAAGAGATGTCTCTCCTTCAAGTGGTCAGTGTAGACAGGAAGTATGAGCAGAGCTTAGAGTGCTCGCGCTTGCTGTACTTCTACTCCAAAATGATACTGTTAAAGAATTCATGGGGTGATGGCCATTTCTTTATGAGATTTTTCTACCTCCTACATAGCCACTGCTCTTGGCTGACTTAGTGTTGTATGTGGTACTCCTAACATGTAGAGGGTCACTACAAGTTCCTGGCCAATGTGGGCTACAGAATATGAATTTGATTCAAAAGTAGAAACTGCTCTTTGGTGAAATGCAGCCTTGTTAATGGCCTACCAGCTATAAAATAACTCAGCACAATAAGCTCAGACTTTAAAATCCAAACTCTGTTAGCCGATGTGGATAAATTATTACCCAATTACACAGCTGGATGTGGTGGTGCACACCTGTAATTCCAACACTGGGAAGTTGAGGCAATGAAGATCAGAAGTTCAGGGTCACCTTTGGCTACATAGTAAGTTTGAAGCAGCTTCCTAGGTTTCATGAGACCCTGGTGGGGAGAGGGCCAGGGAGAGAGAGAGAGAGAGAGAGAGAGAGAGAGAGAGAGA